ATTGATAATAGAAAAAAAAATTATTGAGCCCCAAATCAGCATATTAGAGTAATTTCTGAAGGATCATGTTACTGTCACGTGTGTGTTTCCGTTTATTTTCTGTTTGCCCCTATTTGGTTAATTTCCTGCTCATTTAGTTAATCATCATTCATTAGTTTCCACCTGTGTTGTATTATTCATCTCGTTGACGCCTTGGTTCCCTGTCTTTATAAGCCCTCAGTTTCTGTCTTTTTTTTGTTTTGGATTAACGTTACTTTGAATGGTCAATGTGTGTTAATGCTAATTAAATATCTCCTTTATGTCTACTCCTTGTCAAGCACCTTTACGATAACCACGACCGTGTGACAGTTACACTGAAGTAATGATGCTGAAAATTCAGCTTTGCCATCACAGGAATAAATTACATTTCAAAACAGAATAAAATAGAAAACAGTTGTTTTAATTATATTAATTGTAATAATATTTCACAATATTATTTTTTTACTGTATTTTGATCAAATAAATGCAGCCTTGGTGAGCATAAGAAACTTATTTCAAAAATATTTGAACATCGTTTATAGCACAGAGACATGTAAAACATCTTTATAATCTATCATTGCTAACATCAGCTATCCCAACCTTTTTTTGTTATTTTTTTTTCTTTTGATAATCTGCTGTAATATTTTGTCATTTACTAAACTCAACATGACAAAACACTACTAAACCTGCCCACTTTATAAGTTTAGTTTGCTTATTTCTCTGTTAATCCATTATATAGTATAGTCACAAAGTGAACAATTTACTAGTCAGATTGTAATGAGTTAAGTTTGAGTCATACATTTTGTTTCCCACCACAAGGCCACTGATCTGTGACCTTGGGACAGTTCAGGGTCACGGATTTACTGGTAGGACAAAATTAACATTTGGGACAGCGTCAGTGTGTTCAAAAATGTGTCAAAAAACAGAGTCCCACTAAAATTTGTGGACTTATATTGAAAATTCATACCAGCTTTAACATTTGATTCAGTAAGTCACTTTATCCTGTGTAGCTCATGAGTAAATATCCTCTCCGGCCTCAAAATTGACAGTCTCCTCTGTCTCAGTCTCCTCCACTCAGTCACTCTGAAACTTTTATTGCAGTGTTATAAATTCGAGCTAACACAACCTGCTCGTTTAATAAATTTTGTGTTCCTCACAGGTTTGAGGGCAGCTGTGGTACGTTATTTCATTAATTCAGAAGAAACTGACAGAAATGGCCCCAGGCTATCTGTAGGACTCAGGAAACCCTCTAGTTTTTGCTTAGAATTCTAGTGATGAATTGTACATCCTTACGCTAGTTCTGCAGTATAAAGGAACACAGACTTCCATGAACTGAAATGTCTGATAGAATAATCTATTATCTTTGTTGTCGTGATGTACTTGCAATTAAAAAGCAATCCATCCAATTAACCTACATAAAATGTATTTCTGCATGAAGCACAGTATTCAAGAGGAAGGAAGCCGCCTGATGTTGGCAAGATAAAGTTCAGAGTGAACCGTTGAGGCGCATTTTTAATTAATTTATAAGTGCAGATATTTCATTTTGAATATTTGCAAAAGAATTGTGATGTCAAAAGATCATTCATATTTTCAAGCAAATATTTGGCTTAGTGTGTGTTTAATACATCTGTTAATTTTAGCCGGCTAATTACTTAAGTCTCTCATGCATGCCGTTGAGCTGTAATCCTCTGCGGATATTTTGGCTCAGTCAAAGCTTTGCTTCAGAGTTTTACCACACCCAGACTCAATTTCCCCTTTATGAGGATTCTGTGTAACAGGAGAGGAGGTAAACGTGAGTCCAAGGATGAAAAAATATAAAGTTTTATGATTCTCCTATGTGGGCTGCTAACACGTGACTGCAGTTCTGATCTTTTGTTGGCAGCGCTGATTTGTGACCATTTGACACTTTCATAAACATCATAAATCTTAGCGCTTGTGAATAGCAAACAATAAAATGTATTGATCTGTCAAGGCATCATTTACATACAGGTTGATGGCACCATAGTTTGAATCTCTCGTGGTCTTTTGGGTGTGTTTGAGTGATGTGCCGTTTATGTGTTTGAGCAACTGGGGCTTTTAACTGCTGGCAAAGCTAATTAAACTGGAGAGACTATGAGCGTCCTCACAGTACAGACATCAGAACAGACAGTAATTATGTTTTTTAATCCACACACGGGATTTCTGTCTCTTTTTGTCAAACAGATTGTGTGGATTGTTTGAGGCTTGTGGACTGTTCTTATAAATGGATCAAACTATAAAATAAAAACCTACCAGCACACACACACAAATCAATAAAAACATCTATTGAGTAAGTTGCCCAAGGTCTAGTTTAGAATACTTGTGTATGCTTGAAAGAACTTACAGTAGTATACCTCAAATATTTTTTTTCTTTGCTGATAATCTCATTTGAGATTTTGCCAAATGTTTCTGTTTCAAATAAATGCTGTTGTTTTGAACTCTCTGGTTATCAAAGAATGAAAAATTGTATGTCAGTTTCAATAAAAATATTAAGCAACACAACTGTTTTCAGCATTACTAATAATAAGAAATGTTTCTTGAGCATCAAATCAGCATATTAGAATGATTTCTGAAGGATCATGTGACACTGAACACTGCTTTGCCAGTGGAATAAATTACATTTTAAATGATACAAACCGAAAACAGTTAATTTAAATGGTAATATTTCACATTAGTACTGCTAAATTATATATAAATAAATGCAGCCTTGGTGAAAATGTTAATGTAACAAAAATGTAACATTTTTGAACAGTAGTGTACAATGTAGGGGGAGATTTGTTTAAAAATCAATTGGTTATGTTATGCAAACATGTTGTATCAGGTCATGAGGGTGAATAAATTATCTTTTAACTTTAGTGAAGTGTGAACCGAAGGCACATACTTTAGGCTTGGTGCCTAAAGGCAACAAAGATTTAAGCCAAGGTCTTCACTGTACTTTAGGTCACCTACACTCAGTGGAAAAATTTTGAAAACCTAATGTATTTCAGTTTGGCTGAGGGTTAATTACTGAACCTACTGAACTTTTATCAGTGTTAGCTTTTGATCCAGTAATGAAACAGTGAAACAAAGCCTCTCTTTAATAGAGAGATGGATCTTTTATCAGACTTTTCAAATGACTTGGATTAAGGAAGCCATCTTTTGTCTCCCTTTGTAATACACAGACAATACCAGACAAAAAACAAGCCATGACTCAGAGTGAAACTGTGAATGAAAAGAAGCTGTGTGGCAGTATATGTGAGACTCTTTCTCCTAAACAAAATACTTTGCTAGTTTTAGACCACCTTGAGAACTCATGAGAACTGTGACTGCGATCTTGTGACTGGCTTTTATTCATTTTGAATAGTAAATGACAAGTGTTAACAGATACAGATTTGTGGCACATTATCATTGCTAGCAAAGCTAGGTGTATTGCCTGTAAAATAAAAAAGGAAACAATGATCTCCCCTTTTGAAACCCCACACTGCCTCTGCTTTCTCAGTGCCATCAAACATGTATGGACTTACAGTGAGGATTTACTTTAAATAACATGTAACATCGTTTTCTTTTAGCACTATACCTTTGTAGAAACATCCATTGATGTACTTGACTTGACGCTGAATGCCACTAAAAGGGTCAGCGTTTAACATCAGCTGTCTTATTGGAAATTTGAGGCTGTCAGAGGAAAATCAACATCCATGACATTAATTGTCCTCTTGTCTATTATGAGGAGGTGAGGCAGGATAGTGAATTCAAAGACCACTGTACCACAGCTGTCAACAACACACACACACACACACACACACACACACACACACGTTTACACACACACACACAGTGACACTTTCAGTCCATTTACATTGTGTTAGTGCTTTAGTGTCTAAGAGCAACAACTCTGCGTCTATTTCTGGATCTAGGTCTGGAATACCACAATCCTAATAGTATGCAGCCTAATCCATGACAGACAGGTTCCTGGAAAGATGGATTGCCGTAAAGCTGCGGACTCTACCGCCTTTCTGACTGAACAGGGGGATGTGCACTTTAAGTAAAACACACTGGAAATATGAGAGTATCTAAGCAGCAGCAGGGGAAACACGTTCAGAACAACTGATATGTCTGGTAAAAAAACAAAAACATTTAACAGTTGCAGAGCATGTTGCTTATTTTAGTTTACTATTTAAATGTATGTCCCATGTGTTATGCAATATAAGATGGTAAGCAGTTTTAATCTTCTGTGTTTCAGTGATGCATGTAAGAAGTGCAGGTTTTACACTATAATTCTTCAGTTGACAAGCGAGCGTTGCATCACAACACCATCTGCTGGTGTCTAGGATCATGCCTGAGTCAACATTTTCTACGCACAATGTGTGTTGGCAGATTTTTTTATATAGTATAAGGAAAAAAATTATTATTTAAATATTAACATCTGTTTCAGTCACTGCTAGCTCTTTTTTTGTGTTTTTAGTGGAGATAGATTGCTTTTAAATGTCAACTGAGAACAAATGGTTCTACTTTAGAAACAAATTGCTCAAGTCATTTTATTTATTTTATGTGTTGTTTTATTCTGTGGGGGAAAGGTCACCCCCTCAGGATGACTGCCATGTTGAGATCACATCACCCCCCTCAGTATCACTTGCCCTATTACAAGAAAATTAATTTTTAAATACAGAATAAATTATAAATTATGAATATGCCTGCAAATTTCTCTGTATTTCTAAAGGGGCATTGGTAACCAAAAAGCTCTGGGTTTTCAATGAAGGGATGCTGATCTGTTTATTTATATATTTATGCTCACAATGTTGGGCTATATTGTTAAAATGTCTTTTTTTAGGATAGTCTCTAAGAAGTTTTTTAACTAAATACCACACAAACAACTGTGATGTCACGGCAGTAGTTTATTTATTTGGGCGATTGGTTGTACTATGTAGAGAGAAAACCGGTGCAAGGAATTGTCTTTAACTAAAAAAGTTTTTTTTTTGTCATTTCAGAGTTGACAAGACATTTTCCAGAGCCAGGAGTTTGTGGTAAGTGCTGTATTTTTCATGTAACTTAGCCATAGCCTGAAACAGCCGTTCCAGAAACCACAAGCTTTTATGCTGTTTTGCTCAAGGGTATCAGCCTAGACACAGAGGAAAGACAATTTTCTGTCTGCTGTAAGTGACTTGGAAGGAAACCATTCAAAGGTCCTTTAGTGTTGTAGCTGCTTTTTCCTTCATAATACCAGCTTATTGCCATTTTAAAGCTGTTGTGCATGATGTGCACCATTCAGAATTGAATTTAGATTTACATTTTTTATTCAGTTCCTAAGTTTTAATTAGGTTAGAAAAATCAAAGAGGATACAGAATTGCTATACAAATTCAAGGAATAAATGAAAATGAATTAATTTAATTAATTTAAAATTAATTGAATTTCAAAGATATTCATATAACTCATTTGTTTTTATAATTGTTTTCTCAAGGAAAGATTTAAATATTGGCAAAAGCATTGAATAATTATTGAAATAAGCATTGAATTTTAAAGATGGTCTAATGGCTGGGTGGGTGGGTGGACAGACATAGAAAGACAGACAGATAGACAGATAGATAGATAGACAGACAGACAGACAGACAAATGGATAGACTGATAGATGGATAGACAGGCAGTCAGACAAATAAACTGATAGACGGATAGGCAGATATATAGAAGGATGGATAGACAGGCAGACATAGATGAACAGACAGACAGATAGATCGATAGCTAGATGGATAAAATTAATAGACGGATAGACAGACAGATACAGTAGATAGTGAGAAAAACAGATAGACAGATGGATAGATTCAAATTCCAACTCATGAAATGATAGGGAGCCATTTTTAAAATGTAACTTGTGTACTGTTGGTTGTAACTCCTAAAATCTTAAATGTCAAGATGTGGGATTGTTTGACTCTGCTCATGGAGTGTCACAAAGCCATACAGAGCGAGGACAGACATATTAAATGTTTTTGATTCGGGCAGTGGTTTTGGGATGAGAATGGTCCGGAGCGCAGAGGACACACTGCAGTCCTGCTGCCTTGTTGCCACAGCGACGGGAGACAGCTCTGCAGTGTTGGCAGGACGAACTGGCTGAGGCGCACATGCGACACTCTCACGCCCCTGTCTCTGTGACTGAGAGTGTGTGTGTGTGTCTGTGTGTGCTGGCAGGCCATGTGTAAAGGCCTGCTCAGAATGCCAGGCACAGATGGACAGCAGCCTGAAGGTCGGTCCTAACGAACCCATGGGATAAACCAGATTCCCGGCTCCGACGGCATCCGTCCCTCCACGTGTAACCTCAGCACCCTGCCTGCATCAGTCTCCGCCTCTGTAGCAAATAGCCTGCAGGAAGAGAGACCTACCGCGTCCATCCTTCCACACTGTTTTCTTCTGAAGGCACAGAGCAGTTGAGGACAACTTGAGGCTTTCTTCAGATTTATGGCACTGATTTTGTATGCCGATCGCAGCCTTTAACATCACATTTCAGTGGCTTTGTGATGGGACTTTGATAGGTAGTCCATTGCTGGAATTGCGGTTTGTTTATAAATTTTGGAACTTGTGCGAATAGGATACAAAATATGATCAGTTGTCAAATATACCAAAGTAAGGTAGAGAATTTACAATTATAGAAAATTTTTCTTTTTTAATGGTGTATATATAGTGGTAATTTATCAAAAATATATGCAAATTTAGGTATGATACTTATTTTGAGTTTTTGAAAGAGTCTGAGAAGAAGATACTTAAAGGAAGAAGATTCATTAGCTTGTCAGAGTGAGACAGGATCTGACCACTGTGATCCAGAATTAGGCCATAATCCCGTCTGTAGGCCTCTTGTAAGTGACTGCCTGAGACCTTCAGTAAGGAACACAGATCTCAATTAGTCTGACAGATCCACAATGCCTTGCTCTCCCTTCCGAATCAGGAGGCCGAAGAAGTTCTGGTGAGTTTGAATTTGAGAAGGTCTTCCAATGGTCAATCTGAATATGAAAAGAATGTAAATTTTTGGCCAGCGGTGCTGCAAGTGTTTGTTTAGTGATCATTACGTGTGGATTGTGCTCATGGATGTGGCATACATTAGCATGAATGGATTTAGATTGGTTTGCTAAATGAAGGCACCTTGCTTATCGTCACAAAGCAATCTTTGCGCAGATCCAGCAGGAATGCTTCAATATTCTGCAATGATGCTGCATTAGAGGAATGGTGCTGCTTATGGAGTGTGAATCAAGACACTTTTCTCTTTTGGTAAGGCATCTTTATCTACCTGTCTGTTTTGCTCATTCTTTCTCTATCTCTCACATTCAGACTATTTCTCTTTCTTTGGTACATATGAGCAATCTAGGTCACTGTCATTATGTGCATATAGCAGCATTAGTTTTAGGTCTTGGGTTAAAGACGGCATGAAATTGCCTGACTAGCATAGTTTTCATTCCTGTGTTTTGATGTATTTTGTATTGAAACAGAGTTTGGCTGGGACATATTGAAGTGACACTCTCTTTAAAAAAATACCCAGTTGCCTTTAGTTTGTCAGAGCCATGAACCTTGCTACTTTATAGTAGCTAGTCCGTTGCATGTGGTGTTTGGAGGAGGGAGTTCATAATTGTAGATAGCATGTGATTGGACAAAAATCTGTGTAGTGCAGGATGAGTCATCACTATTTATTGTCTGTATTCTCAGAAGAGAAATAATGCAATTAAAAACAAAAAAAACAATCAATACCTTTACTTTGTAAGAACACTTCCTTGAACTTCCTATTCATAAAGTATCCTGAAAAAAGTAGCATATTGATAATAAAAAGAAATGTTTCTTGAGCACCAAATCTTATACATTATATTAGAATGATTTCTGAAGGATCATGTGACTGGAGTAATTTCTGCTGAAAATTCACAGGAAGAAATTACATTTAAAATATATTAAAACAGAAAAAGGAAAAAAACAACCACAAAATTTTGAATGATAGTGTAAATTTTCATTAAAAAAATAGTTTGAAGTAAATGAAAGGCATTGCTCCTTTATTCACCTTTATGTTGTTCCTGAACTATGGAATAGAAAATATGCTTCTGTCTATGCAGCAGTTTTCATTGTATGGACCAAAAAAACAACATCTTTCCTTATTGAAAGTTTTTTTTAAAGATCTTCAGTGTTCTGCAGAATAAAGTCATACAGGTACCATATAGTCCTCTTCACAAACAGCATCCCTAATTTCAGGCCAGCGCTAAATCCGGAAGCACTTAGCACACAATATGGCACTCATATTACAGGCTGCTGGTCCCACACTATATCTAACCCCATCTCAGGTCAGCTAAACCCATTCAAGGTCCAGAGAGACTCACCTCTCTTCCTGTAGTGGAAATAATACACACTCTATATTAGTGATGCACGGATCGTGGTTATATCCGCGGCCGCTGCGGATAATCCGCAGGTCGGGTAATAAATAAATTCATTCTGATTAATTGCGGGTGGGTCGCAGGTGGATGAGATAGATCATTAATGATGCAAACATTAACTACATTCTCTATAATATGAACGTGTTTTAAAATGCATCTTTTTCATCAGGCAGACAGGCGCGCTCAACATAATACATTTTTTTGTGTGTGTGTGTGTGTGTGTGTGTGCACGTTCGTCTGTTCGGGAAGTTTCAGTGCACTATATAAAATACATCCTCAATTATCTAATTATGTACAGCTTGGATGCAGCATCTGTCAAAAATAGACTAGGCACATATGGCCTATCTTTAGCGAAGCAGCGTGGAGAGCCGCTTCTGAAACGTGCCACAGCGTGGCTGGTATAAACACAAGCACTGACTAAAGTGGCCGCGATCAGCTCCGGTGGTCATGTCGGAGCCGTAATTCACTGCAGACGTGTGCAGTGATGCGCAGACCAGTTCTGTCACTCTATCTGTTGTTAGAAATGAACCATCCATTCATCATATCAACATGCAAAACTAAGAATTAGAATAATTGTAATGTGACAATCGGGTGCTGGTCGGGGCAGATATCTAAATCAGAGAAAAATATAGGTGAGGGCGGGTGTATAATTAGTTTGAAGCAGCCGATTCGGGTGATGTTTAAGCTGATCCACGCATCTCTACTCTATATATTTTTCCCATTAACTCAGTAGACTTTAGCTACTTGCTTTCATTAATCTCAGAATGACCTGCGGCTGCTGACATTCTGAGATGTTTGAAAGCAATCAAGTGTCTTTCCTGTTGCCCTTTTTTACTTCCCTAACATCAAAGAGACATCCCTGGCTTTGATAAAGTATCACTGAAAAAAGTGCAGAAATATGTCATGTCAATACGGAGTGACAACGTTTTTTACTCTCCTTTCATCACAAAGTGCAGGTGTCACAGTGAGGAGAGACATGGTTTCCTCAGACTTTCTGCTTTTAAGACCAAGTCGGATCTTTTCCTCTGGAAGTATGCTGCCATCTCGTTCTTTTCCGCTTTATATAATTGAGCACATTTGTCTAACCGATGTAGAGCCGAGTTCTGTCTGGCGTTATTAAACGAGACAGAGATATACGGAGGCTGGTTTAAAATAATACAATGAGCCATTAAGGGCACACAATGCTCTCTTGTCCCAGACAGCCTGGCGCGAAACAGATTTTGTGTTTGATGAGATCGATAGAGTAGAGCGATGTCCACCAGAGCAAACAGCTGTACACCATACTGCATCAATTACAACATCATGGCTGCGTAGAAGAAGTGTCCGGGTACTGAAATGGCCAGCCTGCAGTCCAGATCTTTCACCCATAGAGAACATTTGGCGCATCATAAAGAGGAAGATGCGACAAAGAAGACCTAAGACAGTTGAGCAACTAGAAGCCTGTATTAGACAAGAATGGGACAACATTCCTATTCCTAAACTTGAGCAACTTGTCTCCTCAGTCCCCAGACGTTTGCAGACTGTTATAAAAAGAAGAGGGGATGCCACACAGTGGTAAACATGGCCTTGTCCTAACTTTTTTGAGATGTGTTGATGCCATGAAATTTAAACAACTTATTTTCCCCTTCAA